ATCCCCCCCATTAGCTCCACAACCAAGTCATCCCCCTCCTGATACAACCCTATTCCTTTGTCATTATAGTTTCTCCTCCCCGTACCGTAGATTAGTTATTACATTTATTTAAGAGACTTGAATCCATATGCCTGTTGGATCTCATTATTTCTCCTAATGATACTGGTACAGTATCATAAGTATGCATACGGACATTTTTTCTCTGGTGCAATAAACATGTGCTGTGACCTGCTGTGACCTAGCATTTGATCTGATCTCACACACATGTTTATTACTGGCTGAAGCATGTTTCAAAAGTGTCACCTCTGTATTATCCCTAACCAATTTGGTGTCACTCCCATCTTTGACAGCCCCAACAAACACAAGCAAAACAATTGAATGCACAAAATCACCTCCCATTGGCCTATTTTCATGGTAGCCACCAAGTTGTTTGATTGGATGATGGCAACCATTGATGGACAGTCACCTGTCCCAGTCCAAGAGAAGTATGGGGTTGCCACTGAAAACATGCCATTTTTTATATTTTTGCTCCTTGTCACCAGATACGCATGAGATGCAGTGATCATTGCAGTTTGTGCTCATGGTTTTTTTTCATTCTTGAAAAGAGCAAAGAAAGATGTGATGAACTTTGAATGCGAGACACACTGAATAGCTAAATCAGGGAGCAATGTGCCCGAGCCTTCAGTGACATAAAGGACTAGAGTGAGACACTGCATCCTATGTGGGGTCTATCTGGATTTGTTTTTTTCTATTTACACTGTCTCTGTAGCGCCATTTCAATGTAATGTGCTGTTTCTTTGTGTCTTTGTTGTCTCTTTTTTTCCCTTGTCCCCCCCCCCCCCCCCCTCCCTCCCTCCCCTCCTTCCCCCCCCAATCCCCCCCCCCCCACCCCCACCCCCACCTCCTCCTCCCCCACCCCTCCCACCTCGGAGCAGCATTCTGTCCCGCACAGGCAGGAAGGAGAACCAGGAAGCTTCCAATTTGGCCGTGCCCATGACCATGTGTCTTTTTCCTGTGCCATTCCCACTCACCCCATCTCTAAGACCACAAGTCAGTTCCATCAACCCTACAGTTACTCGCTCCCTCCTTTACAGCGTTCTGCGCGATGCCCCGTCAGACCGCGGGGGGCAGGGGCAGCAGAGTCGGGACGCTCAGCTCTCAGAGTACCCCTCTCTGGACTATCAGGGCCTCTATGTGACCCTCGTGACCCTGCTTGACCTGGTGCCCCTGCTGCAGCACGGTCAGCATGGTGAGTCAAGGCCCCCCCCACCCCACCCCCCCCCACCCCCACACCCCCCCCAGTTGCACCACTGTTGTTCTTGTCATCATCATTCTCCCGATGCCCGCCCCGCCTGCATGAAGCCTACAGCTGCATTTTGGTTTTACGGCGAGAGCGGAGAAAAAAACGCAGCCTGGGCTCCGGATGGCGAGGGATGCATGGGGGGGTTGAATGGGAGCACGCTGGTGGATCCGGTCAAACTCAAAAAAATTCCTAATCACTGCTGATCGGATCTATCAGATACGGGCCCGTTCTTCTGTGTGCCACACTTTGGTTGCATGTGATGCTGTGTACAGTGGGAACAAAGTGTCCTTTCGAATAAGCCAATGTTGTTGTGATGTGCGAAAATGCTAGCCAATATGCAAGTGCACTGGCCGTTGTAGCTTAATGTCAGTAATGTCTTTCTATGCTCTTGAAATTCTTTTCAAAGTAAGTTATTCACACAATGTTTTTTTGGCGGGGCAACTGCTGTTGTTTCTCATGAATATTTTACCTCTGTAAAAAAAAAAAATCTAAAAGCGTGAAAAGCATCGCCTTGTCTAGAATTTTGTACTTTTTGCTAAGGGCAAACTTTACTTTGATGGCTTTTGCATTGTCTACTGCAAAAGTTTAATATGAGATATTAGATATCTTTTTTTTGTGATATATGCTTTTAATTTGAAACAGTTGAAATGAATGTATTGTAATGATTCATCATACTGTAGTTGCACACAGTATGTACAGTATATACTGTATGCAGGATTTATTGAATGAGTGTCTGTGTATCTCTCTTTGTCTTTTTTGCCTTTTCCCACTTTCTCATCAGATCTTGGACAGTCCATATTTTACACTACAACTTGCCTCCTGCCCTTTCTCAGTGATGATATTCTCAGCACTTTGCCCTATACTATGATCTCCACTTTAGCCACATTTCCCCCTTTCCTTCACAAAGACATCATTGAATACCTGAGCACCTCTTTTCTTCCTATGGCTATATGTGAGTATCAAAACACACTGCGTTCAACAGCAACGTCAATGTACAAAAAGTGTTTTGTAAATTGATTTTCACAGTTAGAAATTGACAGCTATGTTGCTAAGGCTTTCAGGCAGCTGAGGGGATCATGCCCTACGCCTACACGGAAGTCATCACATGCGCACACACAAACGCGCATACACAAACACGCACACACACAAACACACACACACACACACACGCACACACACACACACACACACACACACACACACACACACACACACACACACACACACACACACACACACACACACACACACACACACACACACACACACACACACAAGCATGCATGCACTAGTGGCATACTACCAATACCAATAACACCATCCTTGCCGAATGAGAACATTTTTTTTTCAAGTGGTTATCATGTATTTCTCTGTCTCTCTGTCTCTCTGTCTCTCTCTCTCTGTCTCTCTGTCTCTGTCCCCTTTCTTGTCTATAGTGGGTTCGACTCGAAGGGAGGGGGGTGTACCCGCGTATGTCAATCTCTCTGCCTCCTCTATGCTAATGATAGCCATGCAGTACACCTCAAACCCAGGTAAACCAACACTTATATGTCAGTGCTGATAATATGAATCATGCTAAATGCTTTATGAGCATTCCTTGATAAATTAGTAGTGGACGTGTTTCCATTTAAACTGTTTCCATCACTCTGTTCAGTTCTGTTCTCTCCTCTCCTTTCCTATTCCCTTATTTCCTCTTCTCTCCTCTCATCTCATCTCCTGTTCTCTTGTCTTCTCTTGTCTTCTTTCCTCTCCTTCTATCGCCTCTCCTCCTCTTCTCTTGTATTTTCCAGTGTATCACTGTCAGTTGTTGGAGTGTCTAATGAAGCACAAACAGGAAGTGTGGAAGGTAAGGGTCATTAGTATTCAATTCAAATTAAAAGTTTATTTTAAGTTCATTAAAGCTCCATCTCAAACAGGATAACTGCAACCCAACACATTACTTATTTTGAATGAGAATGTTATTATCATTTAAAAGAATATTATTCAAAACGTCAGTGTATTATTTAGTGAAAATCTATCAAGGCGTTCTACAATATCTTTACAGATATAAAGACGGATGATTGTACAGATAATTCCATGGCGATTATGCAAAATGTGTAATAGCATTGTGCGTGTGCAGGACCTGCTTTACGTGATTTCCTACGGACCATCCCAAGTGAAGCCCCCGGCCGTGCAGATGCTGTTCCACTACTGGCCCAACCTGAAGCCCCCAGGAGCCATCAGCGAGTACAGGGGCCTGCAGTACACAGGTCAGCAGCCTCCTCCTGTCACTCCAATACGGCCTGCTGGGGAGAATCTACGTGGTTCCTGATCCATGTATCTCCCCTCTCTCCTCTCTCCCCCTTGTCTCTACAGCCTGGAACCCCATCCACTGTCAACACATCGAGTGCCACAATGCCATTAACAAACCTGCTGTCAAGGTAAAAAAAAAAACAAGCATCGGAAATGACTTCAGGAAATATTTTTCTTCATTTTATTTATTTTTCTCGTTTATTCATAATCCCACCATCGTGGTTGGCCAAATGAAAGTTAATAAGCCAAGGATCAAACATTTAAGTAAAAAGTCCATGGACAACCTCTTTGGGCATGCAAGTGAAATGTGCCCGATTGCTGTGCCGAGTTCAAACGTGGTGCCGGTGGTAAATAAATCAGGATGTGCCCTTGCGAACAAGGTGATGATATCTGTCTCATTGCAACTCGAGGCTCATCTCCTGTCCTTTTTTTTGGCTGTGCTTGCTCTGCCTGGCCTGCTTCATCTATTCCACCTGCCTTTGCTCAACTGTGCACAAAACGGACAAATAAAGGAGGAGCGGGGGGGGGGCGGGGGGGGCATAGGCCAGGGCTGGATTTCAATTACCAGGAGCCGGGTGTGTGTGTGTGTGTGTGTGTGTGTGTGTGTGTGGGGGGGGGTTTAACAGGTCCTTAATTGAAGGTACTGACCCAGCTCAGACCTTAAGGACAGCGGGCCATCCACTCAGAACTGTAAATGATATAGAGAACAATCTTAGCTCTAAAGCCATAAACACGGTGGTTTAGTACAGGGCCATGCACAGATCAAAAGATAGCTGTGATACGGCATATGTGTGCAGCCATCCACAGTAAAGCTATAGGGGGGTGACGGGTGAGAGGAACGCAGGTTTTCTGGTTAAGATCACGAAATGTTGTATCATAATGAATAGCAGCAACTGACACAGCTGTACCCTTTTGCGTATTTACAAATACGACGACGGCGTACATGTGTTTATTTTGTCGTTCTAAAATAAAAAATATATGTGATGAACATTTTTAATATATACATTTTCCATATGCATGTTAGGTTAATACAACCATTATTTTGCTTTTTTACAGATGTGCATAGACCCTACTCTTTCTGTTGCCCTGGGGGACAAACCACCGCCCCTCTACATCTGTGAGGAATGCAGTCAGAGAATAGCAGGGTGCGCTCTTATTTTGTCGCCGTCCTCCACCCCCTTCCCTCGCCTGCCTACCGTTCCAAACATGCGTCCACCCCCCACCCTCGCCTTTCCTGTCTCATTATTCCTCCCTTTAACCCAGGGGACGCACTATTGCCATGGTTACATAATTATCTTGCTCAGTTTAATGAGATCATCACAGCAAAATAACAATGTAGATAAGTCTCCTGTTGATCAATGTCTTCATTTCGAGGAAAGACATTGTAGGACGGTAGCACGGTCATGGTCTTGGCTAGCTCAGCTGGTAGGGCATGGCATGCCAGGGTTAGGGGTTCGATTCCCACTGGGACCATCCATGCTAAAAATGCATGCACTCACGGTGATGTATGCTTTGGATAAAAGTGTCCCACATATATATATATAGAACTGCAATATCCTTGGAAAGTTGTTAAGATCGAGCTAATACGCTAGCTTGATTTGCATATTGGAGCATTAGCCAACAACTGCTTTTAAATATCTGTCTGACCTTCACAGAGACCACCCTGAATGGCTCGTTGACGTTCTCCTGCCCCAAGGTGAGCGTTACTAAAAAAATACATGTTTTACATTGAATGTTTCCTCATATCCTGTCCCCCTCTCCTCCAACAGAGATAGGCAAACACACACGCGCATGCGCACATGCACACACAAACAAACACACACGCATGCATGCACGCACCCACGCACGCACACACACACACACACACACACAGCTGATATAACACATAGATATTGCTCATAGCACAAATGGTTTGATAATAAATTAGCTTTTTATTACGCTTCTCTCTCTGTGTTTAACAGTTGTGTTGATTCTCTTTTACAGCTGAGATATCCGCCATTTGTCAAAAGAAGGTAAGATCTCTGAGTTGTAAAATGCGTATCCTTGTCTGCCTTTTCATCAGCACATTTATTACACTCCATAATCCTGAGCATTGAATTACTTTTTTTGAAACCATGAATTGCTGCCTCCTATTAATATTGCTCTGCGACTAGTAGAAATTAATCTAGAATCCTATTTAAAAGGTGGTAACATAAAGCATAACATTTAATGAATTAATTAATGTATTATTTGGTCAAACGAATTTAAAGAGAGACCCCCACAATTTGTATTTTTTTTAATATCACATACATTATGGGAATTTGTACATTTTATATCCCATACAAGGCTGCTCTTTTTTGACCCCTTTTTAAATGTTTTCTCAATTGGAAAGTCTATTGACTGAAGTGTCTCTGAGAGGCCAGAATCATTTATAATGAACCAGTGGTGCGTGATGTTTGTTCCGGACCGCACCGGCCGCCGGCCCGAGGGCTCCCTGCACGGTTTCCACGGAGACACAGGGAGAAACGGGGGTGTGGTGATCTCAGGTGCTACCGTCAAGCTGAGCAGCTGCCCTGCCTGTTGTCATGGGAAACAGCTGCCCTCTCTCGCTCTCTCTGTCTGTCTCTCTCTCTCTCTCTCCCTCGCTCTCTGCTAGTTGGTCCATCATTTGCAATCCACTGCCTTTTCAGCAGGCTATGTACCACTCTCTTTCTATCGAATATAGCCTGGACCAGGGTTTGTTCCAGTTCTGACGTTGTCACCTTAGATATCTTCCCTCTAAGTTGTATGGAATAGAAATATAGGATAGTGATATGATATTCACCACAAACATGACATTGTCCCTCCTCATCACAGTACTCATCTGCTGTTTTTATTTACTGTTGTTTAACGGGAGAGAGCCAGTGCAGGCAAGGACTCTGTCAGGGGAAGTATATGTTAATTTGATTGTCAGAAATCCATCTCCCTAATGGACAAAGATTAGAGGCAGATCAGATTAGGTCAGTCCCCTGTCGCCACCCTTTTTATTTTTAGAAACCTGAGACGCCATGGGGACTCGACACAAGAAATATTCTATCGGTGTGGATGCAGACTAATTAATGTAATACTCAAGGCCGGGTTGGGCACTGGCAGGAGGACTTGACTTTGAGGTGGGATAGGGCACTTGAAAAAAGGGTCAAACATGAATACGTTTTGGTTGCAACTTCCTACTCAGCAAAAAAAAAGAAGATAGAAATGGGTGGCTGCTTGCAGTTTTTGCGACCACCCCACACCTTTAGATCATGATACTCTGAGCACCCGTTTACACAGACCCACACGAACAACCCCTCTCTCACACCCTGCTCCACCCCTCCCCTCGCTCTCCCATCCTCGTCCCCTCTCTCTCACACCCTCCTTCCCTTCTCTCTCCCGATCCTCCCCTCTCTCTCCCACCCTCCTCCCCTCTGTCCTCCGCCCTCCCTTCACCCCTCCCCTCTCTGCCATCTCCCCCACCCTCCCCCTTCGCTCCTCCCCTATTCTCTCCCCCCCCCCCCCCCACCCTCCGGCCTCCGTAGAACTGTAGCTCCCATGTCAGGAGGGCGGTTGTCACCTGCTTCTCAGCTGGCTGCTGCGGGCGCCATGGCAACCGGCCTGTCCGCTACTGCAAGCGTTGCCATGTCAACCACCACAGCAGCGAAGTGGGGGCTGCGGCAGAGACTCATCTCTACCAGACCTCGCCGCCTCCCATCAACACGCGCGAGTGCGGGGCGGAGGAGCTGGTGTGCACTGTGGAGGCCGTCATAAGGTACTCGCTCACCCAGGGCTCTGATCACCTCGTCTAACGCTGACACGTCCTGCTGTAACCATGGAGTCGTATACACGGAGTCTGTCACATCATAGCGCACAATAGGTGGGAAATGACAAGCCAATGCCAATGTATTTTCACACAGAGTGTCAGGCCCCTGTAGTTCTGCTTCTTTCTGTCCTTTTTTCCCTCTTTTTCTCGTCTGTCTTTTACGCCTGTCTTCTCTCTCCCCCTCTTTCCATCTCTCTCTCTCTCTCTCTCTCTCTCTCTCTCTGTCTCTCTGTCTGTCTCTCTCTGTCTCTCTCTCTCTCTCTCTCTCGCTCTTTCTATCTCTCTATCTCCCTCGCCAGCCTTCTGAAGGAGGCGGAGATCCACGCTGAGCAGCGAGAGTTTGAGATGAACCGACGTCGTCAGATGGGCCTGTCCGCCTCCCACCACTCCCTGGACAACATTGACTTCGACAACAAGGAGGACGACCAGCACGACCAGCGCCTCCTCAGCCAGTTTGGCATCTGGTTTCTGGTGCGTGTCCACGCAAGAATGACGTGGAACTAGTGCTGCTTGACTGCGAGGTTCATATGGCTGTGAATCTTGTAGCAGTTCTTGTTTTGATTATTGGCCCATCATCTAATGTCTTCTTTATGCCCCACTAGGGATCGCTATGATGCACCCTCTCCCACCGAGTTTCCTACTGGGATCTCAAGTTTTTCCAACACATAGTTTATATATATATATATATATTTGAAGGCTTTTGATCCTATCAAGTATCATATGATCGTGGGCCTGGGAAGCTCTTTCAGTGTGGATTGTGATACGTGGCTATTTATATTTAGCCGTCATTCAACATCTACTAAATTTCTGCTAAATAGTGATCAGGAGCCGGTAGAGGTTCAAGCATCTTGCTCATGGATACCTTTAGGCGGACTGTGGAGGACATTGGGATTTGAACCCAGAACCTCTTGGGCTGGGAGTAAAACACCCCAAACCAATAAACTAACCCTTCCCCCCACCATGGCTACAGAAATAAACACCATGTTCCCTTTCGTTTCCCTCTACCTGTACACGGTGTACAGGTAGTGGGTGGCCCAGTGGGTGGCACAGTGGTTAGCAGTGCTGCCTCACAGAAAGAAGGTCCTGGGTTTGAACCCCAGGGGGGGGACCTCCTGTTTCCTCCCACACCAAAAACATCCATGTTCTTTTAATACTCCTGCCCTTCGCAGCAAGGCACTAGGCAGTAGACCTGGAGTCAGTCCCCCGGGCGCCGCACTGTGTGGCTGCCCACTGTGCCTAGCGTGTTAGTGATGGGTCAAAGGCAGAGATCACATCACATTTGCGTTGTACTCATGCATCGACCTTAAAGGTGGATTCTGATCCTGACCTCACTCCTCTCCTCTCCAGGTGAGCCTGTGCACGCCCAACGAGAACACGCCGACGGAGAGCCTGGCGCGTCTGGTCAGCATGGTGTTCCAGTGGTTCCACTCCACCGCCTACATGATGGACGACGAGGTGGGCAGCCTGGTGGAGAAGCTCAAGCCCCAGTTCGTCACCAAGTGGCTGAAGACGGTGTGCGACGTGCGCTTCGACGTCATGGTCATGTGCCTGCTGCCCAAGCCTGTGGAGTTCGCCCGGGTAAGGCGCCGCGGCTCGAGAGCAACGATGCATGGAGATGGAGGGTGCATGGGTACAGAGGCTTGGCCGTGTGTGTTGATGGAGGATGCATCAGTGCAGAGGCTTGAGGGTGCATGGGTGCAGAGGCTTGGGCGTGGGTGTTGATGGAGGTGGAGGGTGCATGGGTGCAGAGGCTTGGTTGTGGGTGTTGATGAAGGATGCATCAGTGCAGAGGCTTGAGGGTGCATGGGTGCAGAGGCTTGGGCGTGGGTGGTCAAGAAGGTGCAGCATGGAGGCTCATGGAGGCTCTCTCCTTCCGTGCCCATGGAATCCAGTAGAAACACTAAACAATGGAAAGCAATGCAACATAACAGGGTAACGACAGATGTAACTAACGTACAGTATTGTGTCATCGGCGTTCAAATACACACCGCCAAAAAGCCTCTTTGCTATATACACAGTATTAATATCATATTGTATATGTTATATATAGTATTCCAGTTGTTTATTTATGTATATACATATATTTGTATAGTGGTAGAACTAGATATGGAGAAATACATATATACACACATCTAAGGAGGAAATTTCTCCCACACTGTCATGTTTGTAAAGCATATTGTTAGCTAAGCCTGAAGGGTTACGATGCGAAGAGGAAGGTTATTTAGACGTGGAGACAGGGGGCTAGCGAGCAAATGAATAATGCAACACACGCACTTGCGTTTTGTGACACGGATTGTGTTTTCATTGTTTGGAAGCAGCAGTCAGGAGAGTCATAAAGTCTATTAACATATTAATCACAAGGGAGGCAAACCCCTGCATCAGCAGGCACTGCAACCACATCAGCTAGTGTAGTAGTGTCTTAGTGTCTGTAGTAGGCACTTCTTTCATACCACACCAACCAGTGAATGAATACATGAATGAATGAATTAATAAATAGGTGAATGAATGGATGAATACCAGAAGAAAGAAAGACTGATTTAATGAATGAATGGGTGAGAGGGAGAACAAATGGATGAATAACAGAAGAACCAAAGAAACAAAGAAGGAAAGAAAGAAATGAATGAATGAATGAACGAACCAGAAAATCAATGAATCAATA